GCTACTCTGGTTGCATATTGTAAATTAGATGAGAAAAATTTATCTTTGGTAAATAGAATATAGAAAGTATACTAAACTGCCAACTTCTTCAAAGTTTTGCTTTTTTTTTTTTTAACCATAAGTCTTAACCATAGAAGACATTTTTGAAATTCACAATGTTAAGTTCTTCCCAGGCATAAAACTCTAAATGCCCTTTGGATAGTCTGTTTCTCCCACTGGTTCTAATAAGATTTTTAAAGGAGAAAATCTCCTCCATATGCAATTCAATGTAAGACAGTGTTACCATCAGTTTAAAGTCCAGGGAAATACTTTTATCAGCTTGGCACACGCTTTCAAATTATACCAGCATACCCAATTGTTATAATAAGAACTGCACACGTGTTTCCTGTCTAGCTTTTCAAAATGATACACTAGTCTTCCTCTCTGATTCCTCTCATATTCCTTTGGTAAAAACTGTTACTGTTTCAGTCTGTCCCATTTTTGAGTCAAATTTCTCATATTTTTTTAATATCTAAAATTTTTTATCAGGCCTAGTTTATATGCTAGTTCTCTTTAGGTTCTCAAAGTAAAACCAGTTTATATAACAAGTTTCTGTGACCAGATAGGCAACCCTTGAAAACACAAAGGGCAGGGTTTGAAATCTTCTTTGAAGCGTTAAGCAATTGCAAAAATGGCACATTATGAACATTTGTTCTGAAATTTTCCTTTGATGCCATAGGTTGATTACATATTTTATCTTCTTGTTTTCTTCTCAAATCATGTACTTAACAATGGGCATGAAATTTTCTGGCTTAGTCATCAATCGTTGTCACTCTGAATACCTTCATTTTCCACTCTTGAAAATAATTCTGAAATCTTTTGACTGCAAGTAAAATTTTTTTCTTCCTGAAACTAGTTTCTCAGTCTATAATATCAAAATATATTCAAATACTTTCAAAGTGGTATAGTAAGAGAGGACTGAACCCAGAGATGCTTTACCACTGAGCTACATCCTCAGCCCTTTTTATTTTTTCTTTCTTTATTTTTTGGTGGTGCTGGGGATTGAACCCAGAGCCTTGTGCATGGGAGGCAAGCATTCTGCCAACTAAGCTATATACCCAGCCCCCACCCCCAACCCTTTATATTTTGAGACAGGGACTCACTAAATTGATGAGGCTGGCTTTGAACTTGCAATCCTCTTGCCTCAGCCTCCCAAATTACTGGGATTACAGGCCTGTACCACTGTACAGGCCTCACCCAAGTTTTCCTAAATGATCAGTTACGTGTGATTCCAAGTTTCAAAGATTATTTAAATGTCCTAGATTTGCAACCAGTTGTTTTAAACCCATAGTTTTTAGTGTGAAAATATATTTTTACTTGAAGGTTCCCATTAGTATAATAAATAGAATACTAAATACTCACCTGGAATCACTCTCTTGAGCACTATTTTGTTGCCTGCCTGGAGTGGGAGACAGAGTGCCTTCAATATCCTTGTAAATTTTCATTCTTCTTGGTAATTTTATTTTATGTTTTCAGTACTGGGGTTCTCTACCACTAAGCTGTATCCCAGTCCTTTTTAGTTTTTGTTGTTGTTG